TTTTATGACAAAGTATTTTTTTTAAATAAGACAGAAAAATAAACTGGTACAAATAAATAGACAAAGCATTTTTTTTTCATTAAGTTAATACTTTAATTTAAAAAATGCTTTGTCATAAAAATAAATGTACAATATAAAAATAAAAATTAATGTACAAATGTACCAGTTTATTTTTATGACAAAGTATTTTTTTTTAATAAGTCATAAAAATAAACTGGTATAAATAAACAGATAAAGCATTTTTTTTCATTAAGTTAATACTTTAATTTAATTAAAAAAATGCTTTGTCATAAAAATAAATGTACAAATGTACCAGTTTATTTTTATGACAAAGTATTTTTTTTTAATAAGTCATAAAAATAAACTGGTACAAATAAACAGATAAAGCATTTTTTTTCATTAAGTTAATACTTTAATTTAATAAAACAAAAATACTTTGTCTATTTATTTGTACCAGTTTATTTTTATGACTTATTTAAATATAAAAGCACACTAATAGGGACAGTTACCCTACTGGTCTCTAGAAAGATAGTACATCATGGTTTGCATTTGCAAAATATTAGTTACCTATAAAATATAAATTATGTAATATTAATAAATATATTAATAATAAATTAATAATTAATAAATATATATTAGAAACCTATAAAAAAAAGTCCAATCTGTCCACAATTGTACATAAAATCATATTAAATTATGCTTCTGTCATATTTAAATATACACAGACATACATACATTATTTTGTCCACTCTTTCAACACGTTTGCAAATGCACATAGATCTTGCGCCAAATACGGCTAACTTATTATTTGCTCCTGCTTCAATGCCATGTATATTACTCGAACCCAGACAATTTATTTTCTCGAACAATGTGCAATTCCTGAACACATAGAGGTTGGGTCCCATACCTGGGGATAATAAATGACCGTTTTGTAGAATTCTAAGATAATAATTTATAAAATTAACTTCACAGTTCATCGAATCTGCCTGGTGCAGTCCAAAGTTAGCCCTCGAAAATTTTTGTGAATCAAGCAAAAATATTTATGTAGTATTAATATAAAATTCTTATAATAAAATTAATGCATATAATTTATATAAAGTATATATAATTACTGTGCAATTATAAAAAAAATTTTCTTAAAAAAGTTTTGTAAAATTCTAAGAATTTATAAATTAACAGTTCATCGAATTTGCTTGGTGCATTCCAAAGTGTTGCTAGCCCTCGAAAATTTTTGTGAATTAAGCAAAAATATTTACGTAGTATTAATATAAAATTCTTACAATAAAATTAATGCATTAACATTATGTAAAGTATATATAATTACTGTGCAAATATAAAAAATATTTTCTTAAAAAAAATTTTGTAAAATTCTAAGAATTTATAAATTAACAGTTCATTGAATCTGCTTGGTGCATTCCAAAGTGTTGCTAGCCCTCGAAAATTTTTGTGAATCAAGCAAAAATATTTACGTAGTATTAATATAAAATTCTTACAATTAAATTAATGCATTAACATTATATAAAGTATACTTAATTACTGTGCAAATATAAAAAATATTTTCTTAAAAAAGTTTTGTAAAATTCTGAAAATTTATAAAATTAACTTCACAGTTCATCGAATTTGCCTGGTGCATTCCAAAGTGTTGCTAGCCCTTGAAAATTTTTGTGAATCAGGCAAAAATATTTATGTAGTATTAATATAAAATTCTTACAATAAAATTAATGCATTAACATTATATAAAGTATATATAATTACTGTGCAAATATAAAAAAATATTTTCTTAAAGGCTCTGTGATAATTAATCAGATATGATAAGAAATATATGCCCATAAGAACCTGATACAGATGTCAATGTGCAATCTTTATTGAATAATAGTAATAGTTAAAAACATTCATTTCAACCCATAGGTTTGGGTCCTCCTCAGTGTAAGATACACCCAAACCTATGGATTGAAACATATGTTTTTAACTATTACTATATTAAGTAAATAGATAGGTAGATATTAAGAATGTAGAACGTAGAACATTGAATGTAGATATTAAGAACAGGCTTTAAGGAATAGGTTCAAAGTATAGCGTGATGATGTGGAGAAATGCATGATTAAGTTTGATATGTAAATTAAGTCCCCTTTCTGGCTAAATATGCTAAAGGAAATAAATTTCTTATCTATCACTATATTCTTCGATAAAGATTATTGCATATATTGACACCTGCGTCGGGCTCTTATGGGCATATATTTCCTATCATTACTGTAATTACATTAATTAATCGTAACAAACCTGTGAATACGACATCCCCTACGCATCGAATAGCAAGAACCTCCGTGCATGAGAACGCCGATGTAATTATTACTCCTATTTCTTCTTTTCTTTCGACTCTTTCTTCTCTTTCTTCTTTTTCTTCTTTTCTCTCTCTATCTTTCTTCATTCTTTCCTGAATGAAACCGCCGCCAGTGCCTCCTCCCTGGGAAGAACATTGAGAATAAAATGAGGGTGATGTCACATTTTAGATATCATATCACAGGTATACAATTATTAAGGTAAACGTATCAGTGGCTGAACGTGTATCTATAGCTGAACAATTACACAAAAATTTATTTTTAAGTGATTTTTTCATAATATTATAATTTAATTGTAATCTTTAAATATTTTTACAATTAAATTTTGATATTATAATTAA